TTCTGTGTTGTATCGAAGAATCCTGCTTTTCCCTTTGTGTATGTTGAGACCTACTGCTGCTGAGGCTGCTGCCACACTGTTCGTCTTTTCCTACATCTGTTATTGCGTTTGGGATAGAAGGGCCAGATCGTCTGCGAAGTCTAGATCATCCAACTGCATCTTAGATGTCCATTGTATCCCGCGCTTCCCTTCAGACGTTGACGTCTTCATGATCCAGTCGATCACCAGGAGAAAGAGAAAGGGTGGGAGCAAGTAACCTTGCCTAACACCGGTCTTCACTTCGAACGACTTTGTCAACTGTCCTCCATGCACAATTTTGCAGTGTAATCCATCATATGAGTTCTGTATGATATTGACTATCTTCTGAGGCACGCCGTAGTGTCGAAGAAGTTTCCACAGTGTTGTTCTGTCCACGCTATCAAATGCCTTTTCGTAGTCGATGAAGTTGATGTAGAGTGATGAATTCCATTCAATTGATTGTTCCACAATGATCCGTAGAGTTGCGATTTGGTCTGTACACGATCTATCCTTACGGAATCCTGCCTGTTGGTCACGAAGTTGGGCGTCTACGCAGTCCTTCATCCTGTTTAACAATACCCTGTTGAAGACTTTTCCCGGTATTGAGAGAAGAGTGATGCCTCTGTAGTTATCACACTTGCTGAGATCGCCTTTCTTCGGTATTTTGATCAGAAGTCCTTCTTTCCAGTCTGTTGGTACTTGTTCCTCATCCCAAATCTTATTGAAGAGAATGTGGAGTATCCGTGCAGTTGCCGCTACGTCTGCTTTTAGTGCCTCTGCTGGGATGTTGTCCGGTCCTGCTGCTTTGCCACTCTTGATTTGTCTGATGGCCATGCTGATTTCTTCAATTGTTGGTGGGCCAACATTGATTGGGAGGTCCGTGGGTGCTACTTGAACGTTGGGTGGGTTCAGTGGAGTTGGTCGATTCAAGCGTTCTTTGAAGTGTTCTACCCACTTGTTTCGTTGTCCATCATTGTCGGTGATTACTTTGCCTTCCTTGCTTTTCACCGGTCGTTCTGGTTTGCGGCGATTTCCAGAGAGTTTCCTTGTCGTGTCATTCAATTGTCTCATGTTTCCTTCTCTTGCAGCCTTTTCCGCTGTCGTTGCTAAATCTTCCACATATTTACGTTTGTCGGTTCTGATGCTCCTCTTCACTTGTTTGTTTACTTCTGTGTATTCAGCTTGTGCCTTGGCTTTTTCTGCTCTTGTTCGACTGGTATTGATCGCTGCCTTCTTGTTCCTTCATTCTTGAATCTTATCCAGTGTATCAACAGTGATCCATTCCTTGTGATGGTGCTTCTTGTGACCCAGGACCTCATGACATGCTGAAGTGATTGCCTCTTATTTATTAGTAAAAATGATAACCACCAATGTAACTAATGTTTAGAGGCTGAAGAAAACGTAGTCTTTTCATAAAAGGCTGGTTCAGAAAAGCTTATTATCTAGCGCTAAGTGACATGTTACCTACGTTAATACGATGAAGTATCTATTTAAGGCTTGGACTGAGATTGCTTGTGCACACACAATAAATTTACCCACAGTACGGCGACTTGGGACTCGTATATGTACATGATTTCGACTACAACGTGACGGGAATCCTAGAATATATGACTACTCTGTGTGAAGGTGACTAAAAAAGGTAGTAGGCAGCACAAACTTAGTACGAAATAATATAATGAAACTGTGAAAGTCGTCTGGATTTCTATTGCTCCTGTGCAGTGAATATTTGAAATAGACAGTAGTTCGGCACGAAGTAAGTCAGAGGGAATTCAGACAATATACGGGGTATTATTAATTCAATTCTTGGTTTAGCACGGCGCCTTAGACCGACCATATGTAGGTCCAAAACTAATTTAGGTCGGATACGTGACATTGACAAAACGAAAAATCTAGACGAAATCTACGGTTGCAGGAAATTCATAGTTCAAACTCATCGTAAATTTCTGGTACTCGTATATTCTTTTTGACTATGTAATTAAGCTAACTGTAAATTAGACAGGCAGTGGTCGGGTAGGAAAAACACTTCAACGGATAGTTTCTGGTTGGAAACTATGTGCATTGATTAGGCGGAAAGATGAATTTATAGTTGAGAGTTGATCTTTTCCTGCTTATACAAGTGTATAATTACAAGCGGATGGGCGTTTATGTTGCCTCATGGACATACTTACTAGTGGTTTATATTTTAACAGACATATTACACAATAGCATTGACGTGTTAATGAACCACGATAGACGATTATAATAGTAGTTGGTTGGTTAGTTCTATCGATTGAACCAATTATCCAAGTTTAAATACTAAACAACGTTGATATGAAGCATCAAGAGTTTACAGTAATCGATTGACATAAGCGACGACAAAAATTAAAAAAAGAACAAGTACATAATGCAATAATAAAGATAAAAAGTTTTGGTTACGTTATTCGAAGTCTTACTCAACATTGTAGATCACCGAATTCGACAATTTCTGTCGAATGATTGGGGGCTTACTCGAGTTAGACGGAAATAGTGTGACGGACAAGCTAACTTCGAAGCCACACATCGCGGTTAGCACCTAACGTGGTGGCGAGTTTGTCTATGGCTCAATGACATTTAATCGACAACACAGTTTCATTGAACTTTCCAGCACACCTGAATGACTACTCTTGAAAAATTGGCTTGTTGAAAGAAGCCATAGAATTCACCGCAACGTCTACGTTCGACTTTGGTGAGCTGTAGTTGGTTCAGGCACACACAAAAATGGCGAAATTTTGCTGTCCTACTTACTCACAGAGTGTACGGGTTACTTCTGACATTGAACTGTTACAAGCATTCTTCACATATATTTAAACGCAATGCACCAAATATGACCACGAGTGTTCCTGAATTTGTTCAGTCCATACGCTAGTTAGATGAGTTTATGGGAATGACCATGCTTTGATCTTGTATTAATGCTCCGGAGGTGGCGTACATCAATGATAGGCGAATCTGGAGAGTTAGTCTATGACACATGTTTCCTGGTCTAGCACACCTCTTGAATATGAGCGTACACAATATGTGATTTGAACGCAACTTCAGGTCGTCTCTCTTTAGTCTACAACACCGTTAAGGGGCATTTCCACTAGATGAACTGGATAGCTTAGTTGATTTAGTAATGGTCCAGACGATTGCAGAGCCGAAAAAATAGATTTTTGAAATCGTCCCAAACACGGTTCTACTGCGGATAATTGTTGATTAATTGAGTTCAAAATTTTCGAGCTTTACACACATATATAAAGATCCACGGAAAAAGTCGCGTCGTAATTTCAGCATCGACGATTTAAGCTGACTAAACGATGAGCCCGAGTAATCATTTAAATGACCTTTAGAAATTTACGATCCTATTTGGCACATTTGCGTTAATGATTCATAGTGCCAGGACTAAATAGTTTTCCTGAGACTTAGAGTTAGGACTCAGCTTATGACCTAGTATTCCTATTTGGTGTTAGTTATTGGGGCTCAGGCTGCAGTCCAAATTATGGGTTTGGTTCGAGTTTTTTTAGGCTTGTGAGTTACAGTTGTGGCTTAGCACTGAAGTTAGGTATCTCAGTAACTCTGCCCGTACCCCATTCATTAATCTAAACATCACTCAACTTGCTACCTGTGACACTCAAAGATATTTCCTCCGTCGATCACTGTCTCTACAGAACCATTCCACATGGAAATCCGGCTTTGATAAACAGTTTATTATTCTAATCACCTTTGTCTGAAAATTATTTCGAAGTGATGACGGATATAGCTGACTTCATGGAAAACTAGTTCAAAGTACCAACCCGACAACTATAAGAGGAACATGTGAATTGAATATTATTTAACTGGCTGGAAAACGAGATCTACCTTGCAAAGTTACCACTAAAAATCAGTCAAGAATACTAATTATAATGCAGTTAGAATAGATATAGAAATGATAATTTAGGAGGTCGAGTAGTTGAGATAGGAAAATGGCACAGATTTTTCCAGAATATCCCCCAAACTTACATCTAGTAGCTGCAAACTCTTTAGTTGTATGTTTTTTACTAGGAATGGACTAGTCATAACTGGTTACAAGGTCTAGTCATACGAGCATAGCAAAGAGGTTACATCAAGAAAACTTTCAATAATCGAGTGGATTCTGTGCCTTCAGCAGCAAAAACTACATGAAACATCATTAATGTATCTTCTCGGAAACTGATACGTTTGAGTCTGGCAGGTATAGTAAAATAAATCAACTGGTTGCCTCATATATTTCGACTGTCCCATAAAAACACACTCACTGGGTGCATGTTGGCTTCAAGCATCTGATAGAGCTGAACATCAGAGCGTATGCCACAAAAAGAAAGTCGCTAATAATACTGGATGTCTTACGGAGCTGATAGCAGACCATATATGGGACGTTCATAAGACATTAGAGTTTACTTAACTTTGTTTGATCGGTTTTCAGAGACAAGTTTAGCGGCAAATAGAATAATGACTGGACTCTTTCTCTCATTGCTCAATCACGATCTATATGATGTTGATTTTTGTGCGCTGGTGTATTCAGGTGATTTATGGATTTGGAAGATTTCGGAATGTAGCTATGTCTTAATTTTTAACGACCTGGGTAGTGACATATATCTGGTTGAGCGATAAGCTTTGCTCTCGTAATACCAATAAACCCAAGATGTTGATGTTGACCAATTGCGATACATTCACGATCTTCCTTCAGAGTGAGTTCAGTACCACACTTTCTATCAAACAGAAGGGCATGCGCATCTACATATGCATTACATGATGTCTCTTCCATTGACACTTGACAATAAGTAATGCATACTTCTTTCTGATCCTTTCAAAAAACTATATAAAACAATCCCTTTCCCTATGGTATACACTTCACAAGTATTCACACTAGGCTATACTCAATATGGAACACTAAGCTACCGCGAAAAACTCATGATATCTAATGTTTTTCACGCCGCAAAGTTAATTAGAATAATCTATCAAAGTTAATTCTTTTCCATTCAGAAAATCCTAACTGCATCTCTGAATTTTGTTTTAATATTTGCAGTGTGCATTCACTATTGTGTAATGCTTGTTTGTTTGAATCAGTTACAAGATAAGAACCGCCAGTGAATTGTCACGTTAAGGATGGCTCCGACTGGGAAGGCAGTAACGGGATGTAAAAAGGCTGTAATGTGCACTTTTTTCACATTCTTATGTTTTTAGAAAGCGTTAGAATCCATTAATAGTTGCTTAGCTCTGGTGATGAAAAGTGGGAAATGTTCTATTGGCTTACGGCAAACTCTTCGTCTCTTACGCAAAGGAGGAGCGAGATTAATAATTATTGCCAACAATGCTCCTCCATTAAGGTATGTTGGTTTGCTTTTGTCTGAGCCCAGTGAGGGTTACGAAGACGCATGAGATAACCTTTCTATTAGATATTTCTAACGGAATGTTGTTAAATCATATTTAGGAAAACCGAAATAGAATACTACGCGATGTTGTCGAAGACAGGTGTTCATCACTATAACGGAACCAACCGCGATCTTGGGACTGCGTGTGGGAAATACTACAGAGTAAGCACTCTAGCCATTGAAGATCCAGGTAAGATCTCCTTAATGCAGTATACATTTCCTAAGGTGATTCTGACATCATCCGTTCTGCGCCGCACGAGGCGGAAACAAAGTAATAACTTAATAAATTTTCCACGAATCTTATGTCTTCTCTTTTGGAATTGGTGACATAAATAATGTAAAACTTATTTTCCCCTTTGAACGCGTCTTGAGGGATATCGCAGGTTCCATTATATATACACATAATGCCGTCGTAAAATTCGCATGATTTCGTCTTGTAAGGCTTCTAACAAGTTTTTTCCTACACTTTCCGCTGTTCAAGTTAAGATTTATTTCGAGGTCAGGACCGTTTATTCGCAGGCTTCTACATGAGTTGGTACAAATATAAAGCGTTTCAGGAAAGTGTCGTAATAATTATGAGGGAAGTCCACATTTTTTTATGCTAGTCAGATCACGAATCACTTGGTCTGGTCGAGTTGTTCGACAAAAGTAGCATGTATGACCGGGTAGTGTTACTTTTAAGTTGGTAGTTCTTGCTCCTTTAGTCCCTTAATTTTGTGGACCCTTGTATTAGAGGTTGGCTAAACTAACCTACTCAGTGTGGAGATTATGTACTTGCTGAACATTCAAATCATGGTTCTTGAGGCCTTTACATACTGTCCTTGCATGTCGTGATTTCGGCATAATTTTGCTGCTATGCGCATGGGTGGGTGCCTCTTTCTGATTTTCGGGGTCAATATTATCCTGCGCAAAGTGATTGCGTCCCAGGTATACGAAGGGGACTATCTGAAAGGCTGATAGGACGGACGTTCTGATTTCGAGTTAGGTGAAATATCGCAGCTTAGTGTGGCTGAGATTGTGCGTGTTGCTACGGAGGCCATGTGACTATATCGCATAGTTTTGTATGACCACAAAAGAATCCATGTTTCGGCGACGAAAATGTTCTATACGATGGATGATGACATCCAACCAGAAATTATATAAACGGCGGTGGCTATCTACACGTAAGACTATTCGGGTTTCGTCTAATGTTTAATTCTAAGTCCTTTGCGTGCACGAGCTATTCTGACAAAACAAAGCCGGTTGACAGTGTACTTACAATAAGAAGTATAAATCATTAGCCTCCTTGTCAGTGCATCAAGATATGTATATGTTGACGTTCTCACAAACTGGTTAAACAGACAATCAAAAATGGAAGTTATTGTATACAATTCATGAAAAGGTAAAGGAATATTGTTGCTAATTAGTGGCTTTATACCTAGAGGAAGGGATTTACTGAATAGAGAAGGGAAATTGGGACATATATTGTAAACGCTGAAAAGAAGTATCAGACAGTACACAAAATCGCTGTCGAAAAACAGTCATCAGAATAAGGTACGAAGTAGGTATTAACTGATAAGTTATATGGGGGCATCGAAGTTTCTTTTCACGGTGAATTGTGTGATACTGCTTCTAATGTTTAGCCAAAAAGTTGTTTCCAGTTCTGTTCATGTGGATCTCAGAATAAAGGTTCCAGGTTATCTCCGGCAACGTCGATGAATATTTTTCAGGCTGTAATATTACTAACTGGCAATACTACCGCTAACCTTGAAAGCTGTTGACTTTAGGTTTAAGCTTTGAGGTAGTGTCTGAACTCCGAAACATTCTAAATGATAGTTTGAGTTTCCTGAGACAACACGACGTGCTTCTTGACATCCAGCATCTGGTACTATCGGCCTTCCACATGACGCACATCTTGGCGCGTAGCGTTTATGAAAATCAGTAAGACAGTGTAGTCGACCATGAACATCAATGGTAAAAGGTCTAGAATCTAGTCTACCTGCGCATACTACACAGACGAAGCAGTTGGGATGATAGGGCATCCCAAGAGCGTGAACTACTCTATCACCTATGGGTCTATGACAGTTTGAACATGCCTCAACAGCCCCGTCACGTACACAGGCCGGGCATAACAAACGTCTTAGATTGTGGTAATATGCATCTGACTTCAGCGGAGCAGCACAACGATAACATGTAAAACAAGCCACATGAAGTTTTACACCTAGAGCGCCTGTTAGAGTCACAACATTGTTTGTCGAAGCTAAACTGCCACTAAGTGTGCTACCTTCCGGTGGGACAAGTGAACGACGACATCGAAAACATATGTTTTGACCCGCAGTTGCATTGGCCATTGCGCTGGCAGTATCATTAGGAATACACATACTAGAAGCTGATTCAGTGGGAGAGTTTGTTGATGAGCTCCCAGTTGTTGAAGCAGAAGTGACCGCTGTTGCCAATGGACTACCGCGACCACCATTCACATTCCCTCCAGCAGTGGAAGTAAGGCCTGAGTGTTGTTGCAAACGTCCAAACTGAGAGTTGAGACCACTCCCACGCCGTAAACTTCCAGCTATTAAGGGGAACAGAAAAGACAAGAAAAGGTGTATCACAAATAACATACGAATCCAACTACGAGGAACGTTAAATTATGAGAACTATTCTGGTTGTAATTTCAAAATTAAATACCAACATTCTAAGCAATCGATATCAAGGCTGACAACTTTCTTAACGTTTAAAGATAGGTTAGCTGATTTTATTTGAGCTTTTATTTTAGCTGGCAATTTTGATTATTGAGAAATGATCACCTTTCTAGAATTTCATATTTACAAAAATTGTCCGTAAACCTGAATCTTAAGTTTTCTGTTTGCCTCTAATCGCAAGAGCGAGCATACCAGTTACAATGCACACCGTGTAGGTATTTAGGTAACACACAAAGCGCTTTTTCAGTTGACATTCATTTGATATTTTGTCCTTGGGATAAGTGCAGATCGCTCAGGTGGAAACATAAAACCACGTAGTTCATAACTTCAGCATTTTATTACGAGATTCCGAACTCAGATCAGTATGCGGTGATATGAAGACACAAATACATTTTACTGATGAATCCCAGCAGATATGAAATATTGATTAAACCCTTACGACTAATTACCTGATAAGGTGAGACACTAATTACTTGTTTCCAAACTGTTTTGCTACATTTCCCTACCGCTGAAAATATAACTATAAAATGCTCTATCATTACGAAAAAGTAAGAGTTGTTTTGAACAATAAAGTTAGACTGAAATTTTGTAGCAATTAGTTAATCTAATCTAGGCTTCTCTTCTTTTAGAATTTTCAGAACTCTGATTTTGTTAACATTTTAATTGTCAATTCTAATCTTACGTAGCTTGTTAACTAATCTTATCATCTAATTTTTAGGACACCGTTTCTGTTAATTACTTAATTTCACAGCTAACTAAAGCATCTATGTTTACAACCAATTTCAATTCCTATTCTTACTGTTATGTAACTACCTGTAAAAATTAAATGATTATAAAGAATCACTATAGTTTTAAGTTTCCAAAAGTCGTGTCACTAGTAATTATATTGTTGAAGTGACTGACCACTATCTAATTGGTATTGAATTTCTACTCATTAGTAAAACCTATATATTAGTGTAGAGCCCCTACAAACAACGAGTTGAAAAGCAGTATTTCTTCGTTCGATCTGTGTTTTTGACTACCGAGCAGTAAGAGTAGAGATTTCTTGGCAAATTTATTCAAATAATCATGGTGGAGAACGCTACATAATATGATTGATAAAAATCAAAAGGATACAAAATGCATATCTGTTTAGTTGAAACATAATGTCTATAAGATTATCAAATGATCGAAATGCGATAGAATTTAGTTAAATTCTGGAGCTTGGAAAATATCCCATTTGGTTAATTTATTTTTTAATGAAAAAACAGAAGATATATGCCCCCGATGAACAATAAGGAAGAGGTAAATTAGTCGCTTTTTGCTGCTGATTTTGAGTTCTTATGTAAGGAACCAGGAAGAAATAAAGACTACGGAACATATATTTTCTGTTTAAAACTAACTATCAGCGCTGACTCCAGACTTAATAGATTTAAAATAAATCTACTGCAAGCTATTAAGTTTTAAAACATCCATGGAGTGCATCCTTGACAAAGTCAAGTGCTAATGAATGGTCGCAGATAAATTTCAGTCAGCTACAACGTAGGACCAGGCACATATATACATCGGTCAAAGCTGCCATACCTCATTAACACAACACGTTGAACATGGGATTCATAAAAGTAGTTAATTCAGAGGTGGTAATATATAAGAGGAAGATTGCAATAAGTATATACTACAGGAAGTAAGAATTAGTTCACAGAAAGAAAGATATGAAGCGATTTTAACCTCTTAGTTTAAGGGAAGACAGAGAGTATACACCGACGCCATTGTGATCGATTCTGAGCCATGTCAATAAGTCTCTAACCATTCGTTACGAAAGTCACGCGGACCCCAACCAAGTAGTCTGCATCTACCAACACGGCTCAAACTAGAAGTTAGTGACTTCAAACACTGATGCCACGTTTTGGTTTGGCCGCCCCTAACTTTCTTCCAACCATCTCCAACTTCGGTTAGCATTGCGAGTCGTGGTAATCAGTGTTCAGGCATACGTATCACGTGGTCCAACCATCTCAGATGATGAAGATTCACAACCTCATCGACTGATTTAACATCATTCCCTAATACCTTGCGTCTAACCTCACTATTACTTACCCGGTGATCACAGCAGATGCCAGCAATATCTCTAAGGCATCTGTGGTCAAATACTAGTAGTTTACGAGCATTTTCTACTCTTAATGGCCATGATTCGCTGCCGTAAATTAAAGCAGAACGAACTGCCGCGTAGTATACTCGTCCTTCCATTGATAGAAGAATATCACGCCTTCATCATATGTAACGTAAGTTCGCAAAAGCCAAACGAGCTTTCTGAATCCGTGCTGAGATTTCGTCAGACACCAACCCATTAGAGCCAATCAGACTTCCAAGAAAAGTGAAATTGTCGACGCGTTCGACTACTTCACTCCCTATCATCAGTTCAGGTGTTGACGCAGACCAGTCCTGAAGCAACAACTTGCACTTAGAGGGAGAGAAGCGCATTCCAAACATTCTGGCATTGTTGCTTAGTGCTACCAAAAGACTCTGCATTTTATCGGCGTCTTCACTAAACAGGACTATATCATCTGCGTATTCTAAGTCGATAAGTGGACCTCCTGGAAGGAGATCAATACCCGAGAATTCAGTCGACGAGAATGTTATTTCCATCAGTAGGTCTATGATGAAGTTAAACAGAAATGGAGAAAGTGGACAGCCTTGACGGGCACCACTTGAGGTTGCGAAAGTAGATGACAGTTCACCGTAGTCTCTGACTCGACTGGTAGTGTTCGAGTAAAGAGCCTTCACAAGGTTTATGTACTTTTGAGGTACGCCTTTCAATGACAGACACTGCCACAGAATTTCTCGGTCAACAGAGTCAAATGCTGCTTATAAGTCAAGAACAACTATCATTGTCGGACGCCGATAAGTATGCCTGTGTTCTAGAACCTGACGAATGGTGAATATGTGGTCGATGCAGCCACGACCAGGTCTGAAGCCAGCTTGGTTCTCTCGTGTTTGCAGTTCACGAGTCGTAGTTAGGCGTCTGATAATTATCGAGGCTAGTATTTTAGATACTATATTAGTTTAACTAATCCCTCTGTGGTTGTCACAGGATGATTTTGACCCTTTCTTATATATTGGGACGATAAGTGATTGCGACCAGCCAGATGGAATAACGTCTAACTCCCATATTTTAGCTAAAATATCAGTCAACCCAATCGCTAAAATTGGACCACCATCCTTAAAGACTTCTGGAGCAAATCCATCTAGACCTGCTTCCCTTCCTCGTTTCAGATTACCTATAGTCTTTTGAACTTCTGCTAGAGTTTGGGGACCTACTCTAATATTCCATTCACACTGTCTGGGAATGGACGGCAGTTGTAGAGTAGCTGAAGGCCAGCTGAACTGTTCTCTGATGAGTGTCATCTTTTTCCGAAATAGTCTGACTTACACTTGACTTAATAATTCCAGTTTCTTTTATTAGTCTGTAGACCTGTCTGGTGTTCCCTATAGTCGTCGCCTTTTCCATCTCTTTTGCTTTCGTTGCCCACCACTGCTCACGGTCTTTTCTTAGACTTTTTCTTAACCTAGATCTGATTTGTTGTCGCTCTTCATCATGTTCGGAACCTGATGGGACGAGTTTGCGAGAATCCATCAGTGTGATAGACTTTGAAGAAATCCACTGGTTCTTTGTAACTGTGTGGTTTAAGTCACTAATAGATTTCATTGCTGTTTCCACAGCTGTTTGTTTAACTTTCCAGGCAACATCTGGGTCAGCCTCGTTTTCAGAACTACCTAAGTGTGACCTCAGTTGTTCCTGGAACCTACTTTTGGTTTTCTCGTTACTCAATTCAGTTCTAATGGGTCTTTTTAATGTGGCTTTTTTTGCGTCCAGTGAGGCGCAAGCAGATGCGTGCCCGTATTAGGGCATGGTCAGAGTCCAAGCAGGTACTCCAGAATGAGCGACAATCTTCTACCGACCCTCTCCAACGGTGACTGATGGCAACATAGTCTATTTGAGTCCATCGTTGGTTTGGTGTAGGGGTCGCCATGTTAAACGATGTCTCTCCTTATGCTTAAAATTTGTGTTTGCTAAAAATAAACGATTGTCTCAGCACAGTTGCAGCAGGCGATCACCATTATCTAATCGTTGTGCCGGAATACTAAAATACCCACCTAAATGCCTTTCTGTCTGGTTTAAACTACCTATCTGGGCATTAAAGTCACCTGCCACGTGTTTTATGTCTGAACGTTTAGCTTTCTGAAGAAGTTCAGAGAGCCTTCTGTAAAATTCATCTTTCACTTCATCTGAGCTGCAGTCGGTGGGAGCGTAGGCAGAAACGACAAAAAGGCAACGACGTGTGTCCCTATCCTTCCGAGTTCTTACGGAGCCGTTTAACCGAACAGCACATAGACGACTGTTGACGGGGATTTACTCTAACAGTGCTTGTTCCGCCCTCATGCTTAGTGCTATGCCTACACCTGCTAGTCCACGAGAACTGGCCATCGGGTCACCAGATACACGGAGGGTGTATTTCGTTGACTCACCGTTTTGCCGAGGTGAGGTCAAGTGAATGACCACACTGGAATCCTGTATGCGTGTTTCGGAGACACAGCACACATCAATGGAAAGAGACTCTAGGGTTTTAGCCAAGGAAGCCTGCTGACCGATTTGACATAGGGTGCGTACGTTGAAGGCTCCAATGTGTAGTTTGGAGCGAGGTTTCAGTAGACCTGGAACAGTGTTTTGAGCACTAGAATCGTTGGCTGTGGTGACACTTGAGGAGGAAGCCGAAAGAGGAAGTTTAGAGTTGAAAGTCGATGTAGGAGGAATAATAGGAATTGAAGAGAGAGGTTGATTATGAATACAGTGGTCTTGAGTGCTGTTAGAGGTATGAGGGCGGTTATCACTTTCCGGTTGCCCACACCGAGGAAGGGTTCTTCTGGAGGTACCCGAAAAGGAAATTGGATTAGAGGTGGTCTCAGTGACCTGGGAGCGTGACCGCAGTGCCCAAGGGACAACTGCTTGAGGCCGGTCGCGCACGGCCTTTTCGTGGGAGGTTTTTGACGTGTTAGCTCCGTTCTTCAAAGGGCCTTACCACCGGAGACGGAAATCCGTGAGGTAAGGTGAGGTGTGCATTTTTAGGGTCGACCTTTTTTAACCCCACCCATCCTTGTGGGAAGGCAGCATCGCTGTCATGCTGGTTGTCTGAAGGAAACACCTTACTGCTGTCACACCTCTGTACAGTCAGCAGTACGAATTCGCCTTCGAACCTTAGGTTTGTTGCTTTTAGTCTTAACTGCTCTCTAACCGACCTGTCTGACATGGTAGGACCTTGAGGAACGGTTGTTCCAGCCAGTATAGCTCGGTTGCTTCATCAAGATAGACAAGCCCAACCACCACGTCAAGGTAACAACAACGGTCGAGATAAATTTAGAATTGTTTCATTATATTATGATGTTCTAAGTACAAAATATACCACTAAAAATTACACTGAGTGCTATACGGCTTGTGGTTATGGTGTTTATTTCTGTTAGCAATTGGAGGTACATGATGACAAAAAGACAACAGTAAGAATTTCTTGCAATTTAAGGCATATCAGGCGTAGGTAAACTTATTTATTATAAACTATTAAGGTTGTATTCCAAATAAAAAATTCCTCTAAATTAGGAGTTGACGGTATTTAGGTAGTTAATAAGTAAACATGTGATTAAACTGAATTGTTCAGCTTATGAAGACAGTCTTTGTTGTTTCGGACCACATAGGTAGGTTTGGATTACCTGTTTGAGGGTTCGAGCAACTGTCGTACTCAATAGTTGGAAACTTTGAAAATAATGGCGCCAAGTCGTTCGCAATAGCGCAGGTACACCCACTCCTTGTCTAACATTAGATCCCAAGTATCTGAGTTTTTAATATGTTTTATTATTTCACCAATGTATATTATCTCGAACTGTATGTTGAATGGCTTATTGTTTTATTACTATTAATACTGGTACTACCTCTTCTATACTGGGATTCGCCCGTTCGATTTCATATCACTGTGCTAATGGGATACGACAACTTGAACCGATATACAAATGCACCACGTTCTACGCTGGGTCTGACTGACTGAGATCTGACCATGTATTATACTGACAGATAAAACTGTACGACCAACCATATGAGCTTCCTTCCAACTATTCATAATCTTTCCTTGCCAAAAAGATTTGCACTCAGATTTTCAATAGCGATTCAATGAGGATGAATTTATCAATTTAATCGAAACGAACAAGTAAAAAAACTCTAAACTATTTTCACATCAACTTAGCTAGTGAATTAACACCGCGTGCATATACATCCATAGAACAGACTTTGAGTCCCTACTACAGTATTGAGGCCAAGTGACACTATTTGTTTTCATATACTTGAGTATAAAAAACAAAAGTTTAAACCGTGGCTTTGTGGCTAATCAGAAAAGTACATAAACAAGTGAATCGCAACTCCATAATTGATATGAAATGATTATCTTCAAATATTGTATTACCTAACGTTGATATAGAGTCTTTCAATTGCCATATACATCTAAGCAGTTATATTGGATTGAGAGTTGATGGAAGGAATAGACAGATTGTACATATACTGAAAAAACTAACCTGGAGAAGAATTGACTGCGTCTTGCCCAGAAGTTAATGTCCCACCAGCTCCAACTGAAGATACAGACGACCGAGTCTCCATGCTTTGCATTAAGAGATTTGTTAAAGCATCGACTTCAGCTTCAGGATCTGAAAGTGGTGGTGCAGGTCGATTTATTGGCCGATTACCAGTAGTAAGGACTGATGAAGTTCTAAATGTAGATTTAGTACTTTCGCTATTATCAGTTTGCAGAGCATTTGGTGTGTTATCTAGATTTTCAGAAGAATGAGAAGCCATTGTGTATGAACTTGATGCAATGGATCCTCTAGAGGCACCTAAATGAACAACTGGTATTACAATCGACTGACCAATAGGGCTTGAGCTACTCCCCTGAGATGATCGTCCAAGAGACCCGGGTTTGTACCAGTAAACATTATCACGCTCCGAAGAACTTCTCATTGGATATAGTTGTGATGCCTTTATGGACGCAAATTTATAACATGCAAGTTCAATTTAATAGCAAGGCAAACAGTTTGGTTTATCCTGGTTAAAAATCAATATTATTATTAGTCAATTTTTGTGAATTCATTAGACTAAAAATATACTGCTGCACAGCAGTTGAATATAACGGACGAATATCAATATCATTTAATCATTATTCTAACTTAAAGCATTTGAAACTACTTATCGTTCTTTTGATGTCTTTTATTTTCTCAATTTAGAGTTATCTCGAAAATCTGAATATCTGGTGATAAATATTTAATATCATCATTCAATTCTAAATACCATGATACTTGAACACCAAAGAAAAATTTGACGAGGATCCCAATTTCATAAATTTTTCACATATATGGTCACGTGTTTCTTACTAGTTACTGAAATTTTACTGTAGCTAACTACATATCAATATATTCCAAAATCTTACCGAATCCCGTGGTCCTCATGGGATCAAAGATTTGCTTATTGCTTTCTAATAAATCTAACGACCAATAATAATATTTGCCACTAAGCAATGCCTTTAAATTGAGCCATACAGAATGACTAATTGTAGTGCTTGACTTGTTGTCCTATGTGCCATAAGGATGTTAGCGCTTTCCAGTTTGGCCTGGTCGTGGAGTTAAATGACATAATTTAAATAAGCAAGGACTCTTTAAGTTATCAAATAATCCTTAAACAGTTTGTCTTAAATATCAATATTAAGCCTAATTTATCAATCAATCTCACTTGAGCATAGTGTGGAGCATCTGTTGATGAAATCGGAACAACAGGGTGACGATACCGTCTTTCACTCTGTGTCCCTGGCATCCTCGGTCCCGCCCGTTCATTGAACACACTATCCAGTCTATACAGGCTATTTCCAGAACCGAATGAATGATGAGACATTAGCAACTGTTATGGTGAAATTAACGAAATGACAGCATTGTTCACTAAAATTAGTTACACCAGTATATTTGTTTCTGATTGGCGAAAACGGTTCATAGCGGTCGATAGCAGAAACTAAACCTCTAAGATGAATCTGATTGGTTAATAATCGCCAATCCAATGGCCTTGGTTTATTGATCATTATGGTTTGTATTTGTGTGGATCTGACACGTAGATGTGTAGCTGTCAGCACAAATAAGTTGAAAATCAATGTACCCACCATATATGAAGAGAAAAATATACGGTAGAAATCAGTCAAGACTATGTAAATAGGAACTCATTTTCATTTGCATTGGTTATTTGAATCGTGACATTAATGTTTAGCTTTGCAATCCTTTGGCACATACTCATCCTGTGCAAATTACCCCAATATTACCTTTAGGTCACAAGCATTATAAGTAGAGACGGACAGTGGATAGCACTGGAATCAAGGACGCGCACTTCGTCCCATTCTAGGACTCGTCAGCTTGATTTACCTGCCCAGCTTATCTTCCGTATTTGTTTAATTAATAGGCGAGTTAATAAAAAGTAAACAAAACACTTCATCTTAATATTAAAAATGTGGAAGTCGCATTGAATTAGACCTTATTACATATAGATTATTTCACTTGGGATCTTTAGATTGCTTTCTTAACTGAATGGAAGGTGTTTTGTGAATAATTTATTTATCAAGTTGGGCAAGTGATTATTGACCTACTTGTGGTCCTCGATCATATGTCATCTAACAATTGATTCGATCACACTCTTTTCGTTGGATATTTTTCATAAAAACGCAACCTTTAATTTTTAAAAAAATCCGGTGAAGACTGTAATATTTTTGGAAAATCAGTTACACGTAAACCATAAAAAACAGGTTTTGAAGGTAACTTGGATGCTTTTTTTATGCTACTAATAAGAACTGTAGAGCAGAGTAAATCTACTGTTTGACATTACCTCTTTCGGTAGACAAATTGATTTATTTGTATTAAAAACAATATTCATATATTCGTAACTTCCAAGAGAGTTCAAAGATTTTATATAGAGCGGCTTGAAAGAATAATTGATGCATACAAAGGGAAAGTAATCAAAATTTTCTCCCGTCATGACATAAATCCAGGACTTCATTAGACTGGTCTAATCTGCATTGTGTTGAAATGAATAAAAAATGTCCAAAGTCAGTTACTCAGTGTGTCTTTAATATTCATGTCTCAATAAAACAATGAAACACTATTAACAAACAGATTAATAGACAGGCAACCAAACAGAGACATATTAAGAGAACTCAGGTATAAGGCTCTCAAATTAAACATAAAACTGAGCACAAGTTAACAATCTCACGCTCAGTTTGACATTGTATTGCAAAATGAGTACAAAATTATGTGAATTTAGTGTATTGTTATTAAATGCTAATACTTTCGAGTCGAATCTAAATGAACACCAAATATTCGGCTTCTTGTTCATTGAATATTACAAATTAACAAGTCTATTGTAAAGCAATCATCTTAGGCTTTACTTTTCCCATTAGCATTCTTTCCTACAAGTCTTGGGAACCAATATAATAACTGTCACAGCACCATCTATTAAATTTATATCACGTTAAAATTGGACATCTTGCACGACTAAGTATGGGTTCTTTGTGTTACAAATGCATACGTTGATCAATATACTAAGACCGAATTCACCAAAATAAGCTCTTATCATATTTGTTTACTCCGCCTATACTATTTTCGGCTATCGCTAGCTTCATTCAGTTTACGCTTTGATTGGCAAGGTGACTCTTGAGTTTGAGGCCTGGGGTAATTTTAACTTCTGTTAGTCCAAAACGTTAACACTTCTGTTCGATAGAACACACCGAGCAGTAGTTCGGTCATTAGTTTATATACTTATATTATCAGACCAGAACACTCCCTAGTATGAAATCATTACTTTACGTATATTCATGTCATAAGTAGGAGGGAAAGTAGCAGACGCTACATAATTAATGAAAAATAACCAATGAAAAATAAAGCGTCCAGTCTATGGATCCAAAGAAAGCTCACAATACAGGGAATGTAGAGATACAATGATCCAATTATCTAATAATTCTACAATGGGAATATCATTAGTAAAAACCCGTAAAATAATCCAAGTGTTTCAATACTCGCTGTTATGTTATTCTGTTAACTTGATTTATCTATACTGTAATCATTACGAATGTGAGTTACTACATATTCAAGTGTAAACGCTCTTTAGGGTAGTATGTCACATATGTCCATAAATATGTTTTACTATTTGCATGACTCAAAATCATAAAACAGTACGAAAGTGTCTGCATAACAAGCCGTAGATAATCAAATACAGGTTAATAAACATTTTCAAACACCTGCGTAATAAATCAATCATATGATTTGCTTTGAAATAAGTAAATGTTGAATATAACTACACTTATTCTTCATGAAAAGCAATCGAAATGGACTGGCTGACGTAACCTGTGTCTGACTTATCAATTAGATCCCACTCATAAAGTCGACTTCAACTGTTACGTTTGAGTGAACTCTTCGATAAGCATTTTTCCAGTAGGCTATCTTCAATAAGAATAAGCTATAAAAACGTCTTGCTCCCTAAGAACATAAATGTCATGCTTAAGTGAGATGAAATATCTACAATGTTAACTTCACGTTTTGCACTTTACGAAGGTACCCCGAAGTAGACCATTGTACCTTGATAAATTGTTTGATTCCATTTGTCACTATTTGAATGTATAAAATTAAGACTCATTCCTGGTTGTATACTCTCACAGGTACCTTTTTTACACTGACTTATGGACATCGGGACAAGTTTATTCGTCATGAATTCGAAACACGTCAGTGGTCGCCTATATGGTTGGTAATTCGGTGTTGCATCATCTTTAGAAATAGATTACGACGTAACAGAAGTTATTATGTGTTGCGTAGCTTCTGAATCCTTTCCAATCTGTCAGAAAATGTCGGCGTTGGCATAGTAGTGATGTAGCTTGCCATTAACGAACCAGGCATCTTTTACTACTACATATTCATATAATTTGTTTGCTGATAGTCTAGCACTTTATGATTTCGGTTTAGCTTCTGATTTTTAATAAGTAACATCAGTGATACCCTGGATGTTGTCGCGTAATACTTTGCGATGTCTCTTGGCTCCTCCTTTGTCCAAACCCTTACCACCTTTACCACGACCAGACATGATTCACAAGAATAGATACATTGACTTGCAGACAGACACAAGACGATCCAATAAGTAACATAAGGTAGGTTGACTGCTGTAAACCAAGTTGCGTTCATGAGGAAATTACTCATTTGAAGTTTAAATTTCTAGGTGGACGATTAGTAGGTATATACATATTTATAGCCCCCAAAATGCCCTGGTACGGCCAAGGGTGGGGAGAATCAGCTCTTTCTCGCGAAATGCTCTCATATGGCCACACATATGCAACCAACGACAGGGAAGTCCTATTCACTGCCTTCTGGCAATGGGTGTTTTGTTTACGAAAGACGAGTGTTCGACGGATTAACCGGGTTGGGTGGGTACGGAGGATTCATCTAGTGAGGGGGGTGGGAGACCCCGAGGGATCAAATGGCGTACGAACTAATTGTTGGTCACCGACTATCATGGGACTGCACTTCCTAGTGTTGCTCAACTGCTTTATGAATAAGACCTCTAGATCAAAGGCTCGGAGAGTGGACCCATAAGAACACCACCCGCTTCGGTTTGGGCTCCCGGGTAGTATTCTAGTCCTCACACAAATCAGATAACGAAGTGTGGCCTATGTGTACTTGGTGCCTCTTTGTACCAGTGCTTATGCGTCTAAGTAAATAATATATATAGAATGACTAATCATACTTCTTTAATTTTCATGTAGGCTTTCGGAAACGAAGTGACTAGGAATTTCTCAATATTTAAATTAGTATGACTACTTCAGCAAGTCAACTTTGTAGAAATAATGTACACCTGGAAATGGTTTCACCACTTTGTTTTGAACGTTGAGTAATAACTGGAAAAAAATTGGTAAAACTTGAAGTGTTGTCACTATTCATTCAAATGTTGTCTACTTAGTTTTTATTTCAGTAATACTTATTACCTTTGGCAGAACGTAATGGATGAATTGTGCAATTTTAGTCTCATAGGCATCTGAGAATTTATTTTCCGTCAGTAATGTGGTCATGAAGTGTTAATCAGAATAAATTATATCAGCATGTGTAAGAACCCATCAGTAATTAACACATTTCAAGTAGTATATAAGTGGTTTCGGCTCCCTTTGGATTCTAAGAGATTTAGAATCACCTTAGATGATAACACTATGGCTACGGGAATAAACGCCTTTTTCGTAAGTAAAATTCTTTAAAAACATCACGTGAGGGAACCATAGAATCCGTAAACACGTAACCTCGGCATCATTTGCAACACCTGCTACAATGAAGTATACCCGACAACGTAAGTCAATATTGAATAAGGAAAAGCAAGTACCTTGTACATAATAAGACACCTAACCTACGGTAACTTGAATAACCAGTTCCGACTGCCCAGTTTGATCTTGAGTTGGGAATGGAGATGTAGTTACGTCCTTTTTCCTGGCATCTTAAAGAGTAGCCCCGATTATGTGCCAAGTTTCTCAACTTAGATTTTACTATGGCTTTGCAAGGTGGGAATATTTGACCTGGTTTTCTAAGTGCCCATTTTGATCTCATATTCCGTCACAAACGGCAGCGAGCCCTAGTCCATAATTCACGACTTAATAAACTAAGTAATTGGTAGTATGGACTGACTGGATTATTGGTTTTTCTAAAGCTGTAGTTAACACTCAACTGAGTAGGAATTGAAAAGATAGGCCATCAGCTGTGACGTGAATAAGTTTACCAAGATATCGAGCTCAACATGCACACAGTAGGTCTTCGCAATTTCCAGTAGCTCTTACGTACATTCTGTGAGGCAGCACAAAATAATCAGCAGTATATGGAGGCCCAATAACATAAACGTTAAAGACCCTAGTAGTGCCTTGATGCCGCTGACTAGGTAATGTTTCCGAAGAACCTACAGATCTTTTCGCCATATTACTAGACTGGATTACCCTGGGATATTGCCAGCCCACACAATAGCACTTTGTCAATCCTTAGTTTCTTGTAACATGGGACTGCCTTCCGAAACCCCAGTTTGCATTTCAAAGGATACTTCGCACGAATTGTCTTGTGGAACGAATTACCATGTCTACTTTCAGTTCACTGAGGAAATACGGACTATGACATTCTGATATCTAATTTCTAGTGGGGAATGGATTTTATGTGGATCTCCACCGATAAACATTGCCTAGTGTTGCGGTCGGTCTCCATGATATCGACAGCAGCTAAATTCTCGTCTAGAATAACAATGACTTGTCCGTCATAATACATGGCACTCTCACTTTGCTGCCCCTTTCGTAAAAACATTTATTTGTTCGAATTGGGAAAGCTGTTATGTATCCTACGTAACTCAAACGGACCACACGAGACTCGAATAATCATTATTGAAAATGCACATCAAAGACACGACAGCAACTCACCCTTCATTAAACCACACAGATACTAAGGTGTTCGACTGATCCAGTCTACGTATGAATAACTGAATACTAGTTACATGTCCCTAGGAAAGCAGCGTCGAGTCCGAAGATATGACATTTATAAAGCCAGGACATTTCTGATCCTTATTGAGCAACCGGGCTACATCTTGTTAATAGGGGAGATCATACCTTCCTTTCGGTTAGCATCAAATCCCTTGACGAATATGAAAGTAGATACAACAGTGATACCAACCTACGTTACAAACCAAAATGGTATAACCGAGTGGCGGACGCCGTTATCACAAACTAATTCAACAGTTTCTTCGTAAACCAAATATTAGTCGGTTTCATGTCAGTATTTCCTCGACAGCATGCGTTATTTCACACATTGTGTTACCTATGTGCAACGGACACACCGGACTTTGGAAGCAACACCCAACTAAAATTCAGACAACTCAAATAAGACACCTTCGACAGACAGCAAGGCTGTCTAGGGCACAGACAACGGTTTACAATCATGGCGACTGGGCAACCTTAGGTAATAAATTCGGAGGATTTGAGAGGCCTGTAATCAAGATTCGATCATGAATGCTTTGAAACAAACCTAATTTACTGTTAGCGCGTGTTTACTATTGCTTCTTATTACAGGCTACACAAACTTGCAACATGACATGTCGATATGAACCGCTCAGTCTCGTTATTTTTATAGCCTAATAAGTTACTTAATGAGGATTGTGTTGG